GTTATTTCTACAGAGCTTGCCCGTTAAGTAGCTCCTGAACACGGGTGCACAATTTATAGTACGTATTATAAAATCAGAACAGATTTTCATACAATTAGATAATAAATTAGAGAATAAATAAAACCTTTTTTGTTTTAATAAGATTTTACGTACTTTTTTTTTACTTATCAGATGTTATGAGATTTTTTTTGTTAAACTGATTTTATGGGATATGATACAAATACAATTAGAGGATTGAACAAAATCAGAATAGATTTCTATACAATTAGATAATAAGAAGAAATTAGATAAGGAAAAAAAGAAATTAGATAAAGAATTTTGAATCTACTTTTTTTTAGTATAAATTGACTTTACGTACAAATTTTGACTTCACCGATTTTATGAGTTTTGTTTTGACAAAATCAAAGACGAACACTGAAGATTGTTTCTATTAACATTTACAATGTGTATTTAATTTTTTTTTTTTTTTTGGCAAAATATTCTTTTTAAGTGTGATATATTTATATTAAAAACACTTAAAATATTTTATAATATCTATAAAAGCATCTAAAATATTCTATATTATTCACAGATAATGTTTGAAGCTACCTAATTTTTTGTAAACTACCCGTAAGAAAAATATGTCTAAAAATTCTTCATTTAACCTCCATATATGTATATATAGACAGAGAGAGAGAGAGAGCAAACGTGTAAAAAAAATTATACAAATAATATTTAAAAGTATCTAAAATATTAGTAATTAGACAGGTGAAATTTAAATTTTTATAAAATCTATATAGTTAATGGATTTATAGTAGTAATTAGACTTTTATTTATTTACGTTTAAAGTTGTTACGATAAATGAAGATTGTGATTTTTTTGACTCGTGGAGATGGAATTTTATAAGTTGGGTTATGAAATTTTCTTAAACTCGTCCACATCTATGCGATGAGCTTTTTAAGCTGGGAATATAGATTTAAANNNAAAAAAAAAAAAAAAAAAAAAAAAAAAAAAACTTTCATAAATCATTTGATTTGGTATTTTCGGAGAGCTTCATTAATTTAAAAGTATAAAATAAATAAATAAAAAATGTACAACTGAAAAAGTTACAACCAATTGTATGGAGAATTAAACTAAATCCAATTTTGTAGGATGCATTAAATATTGATTAAATTTTATATGTAAAATAAAATAAAAAATAAGTGGAATAATTTTACGTGTTGCAATATTTTATATTTAAAAAAATTAAAAAAATCTTCTTTTACGTATTGCACACCAACATTTTAGGAACTACATGTATATTCCTAAATTAATATTGCATACTCAATATTTTAGGAACTAATTAAACGATAATTTGATTTGCATACCAAAAATATTAGATTCATAAATAAAATGCTTGATAAAAATAGTAAATCATTAATTAGAGTTGACTATTCTACATACTACATTTAGTAAATAGTTTAGCTTTTAATATATGTATAGATTTTCGATCTTTATATATATATATATATATATATATATATATAGAGAGAGAGAGAGAGAGAGAATGGATCATATGAGAATGGTAGATAATGAAAAAAATAAGAATGAATATGTGCCACTGGATTTATCATATAAATGGTTATGATCAAGTCAAAATTTAGTCAATCATTAATGGCAACATGGTAAAATAACATATATTATGGTCAAATATACACATTTGACCAATAATTAAGGGCAATCTGGACATTACACATTTACCACATGGCATTTGGGCCCACACACATTAATATCAATCAGCCCTCCCTCACTCTCTCTCTCTCATCTCTCTCTCGTATCTGTATCTATCTCTCCCTCTCTCCCGCTCGCATCTGTCTCTCCCTCTCTCGCAACGTCGACCACAGGACTCACGGCGGCAGTTGACGGTGGCGACACGCCCCCCACAGCAGCAGAACACTTCGGTCCACGTCAACGTCATATCATCCTCAGCGTAACGACCCCCGCCATGGAACTCGTCTCTGCAGGAACCCACGAGGATCTCGATATGCACAAATCACGGACAAACATTCAACATAAACCTATGCGCAGCGGATCTAAAGGTTT